TTAGGAGACTTTGTGATGTGTGCTTCAAAATGCTGGAATACTGATGATCACTGTCTCGGTCTTCATCTCATAGTATAGAAATTACTAATATATGGAGATAAAAGTTTGTATATCTGTTTTATGGCATTATTTTCTCTTATCTGAATCTTCTTGCATTCATTACATGTGTATAAGCACAGATGCACAAGTGTGGGAAGAGTTTTTAATATACCTTCATCTGAATTTCTTCAAAGTTGAGTACACTGTACATCCAGAATGGCACTTCAGGTGAGGAATTCTGTTTGAATGGAGTCCGCTTGACATGATTTCCAAATTTTTCTAGTTCCCATATAGATGTGTTTCAGAGTACTGAGACAATTCCATAAAATCTTTGTGCTGCAATGGGCAAGCGTAGTGATATGCTGTGATCAAAGCCATAGACCAGATTTTTTCAAACTACTGATTATCCATGCAAGAAGTAAAAGCTTGCTTGCAAATGATAAGGTTATTTGCTTTCAAGGGAGATGGATTGTGTGTGTATTGGCTGTTATCCCCTGGCTTTAAAGAAATGCTGGCAAAGACCATGTTCTTTGTGAAATAAACTAGAATGATGAGGTTAAATGCAGTGTGATTCAATTTATTTGGCAAGATCTACGAACAAAATGAATATGAACCATGGGACCTTTAAACACTGTGAAAACCTATCTGTTATTTCTCTTGAGGAAAGTAAATGAATCCTTTTTCAGATAAGAGAAAGTGTTACTATATTACTGAGAGAATTTACTAGATTTAGAAGAATGCCAGATAGTTCTTCCTTTCATATTTATAGCTGTCTTTTCTTGAATATAAAAAAATGTAGCCCATGTCATGTGGTAATTCTAAAGGTAAAAGGCAGCCCTTGGGATCTGAATGACAGAGGAGGTCTCGGTCAGCAGTAACTAACTGATGTCTGTACCTCTTTAAGGAAACACTCACCATTTGGTAAGGGATCCTGGTGTTTGCTTTTGACCTGGACCCTGAACACAATAAAATTCCCAGATGAGAAATTCAAAGAAAAATTGACAATTATATTTAATTGATTGTAAAGTCTTGTTTCATTATATTATCTTAATAATAGCAACATACATGTACTGTTCTGTCAGCATATCTACTGTTACAGATGTCTGACGAGAATCATTTATAATAGAGACATGCATGTTCAAGAAGGGCAAGTAGGACTCTTAAGCAGGTATTTTAGAGTGTGATTCATTTGACCTATTTTAGACACCTACACTAAGACAAGATGAATCTGGAGGAGTGAATCATGCTCTTCGTGTCTATGCTATTCTGGACTCCCGTTGAAATGGCAGAGTTTCTGGGGGCTGCTCTAATTTCTTCAAGTTAGAGCACCCTTAGTAAGGTTCCCCAACAAGTAACAAGTGTCAAAGCCACTGCTGTCTCCAATTCTTCTCTTTTCATGCCTCTACTCTCAAAAGAAGCTTGTCTTTGGAGTTAGCTAGCATCACTATATTGGTTAGACGAAAGTCATGCTCCGATGACTTTGATGACAACAGTCCTAGATGCTGTTATATTGGCATTATGATAGGATTGCAATATTGATTTGGAAAAGCACAAGAAGCCCCACAGTTAAAATTCTTCTCTTGTAGGATGAGTCTTTCTAGTATACACTTAAGGTTCATGATGAGCAGAGAAGATAGAGGAAACATGAGGAAAACTTGCACAATGTAGTTATTCAGGGAACAAGCACTGAACTGAATTCTCATTGGCTCCAACTTCACAGAAAGAGTGATGATCACTCACTGGAACACACTGCCCAGGGAGGTGGTGGAGTCACCATCCCTGGAGCTTATAGAGAAATGTGTAGGTGTGGTACTATGGAACACGGTTTAGTGGGCAACATTGGTGGTAAGTTAACAGCTGGACTAGACGATCTTAGAGGTATTTTCCAGCCTTAATGATTCTAGGATTCTATCACTTATTCTCAACCAGATATCTAAACAGTGTGGATGAGTAGCATTCCAGAAACATTTACATTTCCAAAGTGATGCAATACAGAAATAAACGACCTCCATTATGTGAAAAGCCATGAGTGTGCAGTCTCTGAAAAGCAGGAATTACATGAGCAAGAGATTGAATTTGTCTTGCAAAACTCAGATATCATTAAGCGCAGATGACTGTACACGCACTAGTAATGAATACAGGCTTGAATACTTATATCCAGACCATGAGTACTTCATTAAGGCTTCAAGATTCTTTGGATAGCTTTGAACTTCTAGCTAGAATTTTAAAAACCCATGCTGTAGTTGGCTGCCTCGAAGGATGGCAAGTCTGATGTAAGTTGTCAGGGTTGGTATACAGTATGTTAACATTAGTGAAAAAACAAGCAAACAAAAGAAACCCTAAAAAATGTAAAAAGCTTTATCTTATTGTTTCTGCTTTCAGCCAAACCCCAAATCTCCTCTGAAAAGTTGAAGGGAACTGATTTCATCCGAGATGTGGTTGTTCCTTTACCTTGTGCTAAAGCATGTGTGCTTTAATCCGAGTGTTCATACTAACGGCTCTCACTGTCCTTGCTCTTGGAGGGACAACAAACTTTTGTGTATACTTGAATACGGGAGCAAGCTACAACAGAGGCTGCATTCTCATAGCTGAGCTCCAGCCTGTAGACCTCTTGCTCCAGTGAACAGAAAGTTCAAACAAGTAGTGAAATTGCTTTAACCCTCCCAACCTTTGCCTGACACAAGGCTCACGTACTTTGACTGTGAGCAGTACTGAAGTCCATTAATGGCCTTCTTTTATTACATTCCTTCTCATTGACAGAAGTAATTAGGAGAGACATGTACTGTCTCTGTGACTCTTCCCACTTGAGCTCTCCCTAGAGACAGAAGGACAGGGCATATTCATGTCAAGGAATTAAGATAAAGCCTTCATCCTCGCACTGCTATCACAAACATTTTTGCAGATGACAGGGAGGAACTTCGGAAATTTGAAAAGAAAAAAAAAAGAAAAAAAAGCCCTTAGTGAGTAGTAAATAGATTCTTACTGTGTCCACACAAAGAATAAATTTATTGTGTGACCTTATTTGCAAAATAAAGCAAGTATCTTTTGGCCTGAAAATTGCTCTGTATGCTCTTTTTAAGAGTTGTAAGATCCCTTACTTGGTGACAAATTGGGACTGTTTGTACAATTCTTAAAAATATGGGATTCTGACCTAGGAGTCTGGTTCTTGAGTATGACCATTGTGCTCATTTTACTGTTAAAAACAATAGCAGAACTCATCCAAAATGACTGCCAGAGTGCTGTGGAGGAGCCCTCATTTGACACAACTGTTTATGAGAAGAAAATTTTCCTTCTTCAGATCAACATACATAATTTGGGGGACATTTTCTCTTTCTTTATTTCTTTTTTTTTTTTTCCTTTTTTTTTATTTTTTCTGGTTGAAGTAACCTTTCCACTATGCATGTACTCTATAAGTCAACAATACTTCCTCTGCTGCAGGAGCTCAATTCATTGCTTAAAGGAAGAATAAAATAGAAATACACACTGGATCAGAAAGAAACAAGACTGTGAATCTGAAAGAGGCCTGCCCTTGGCATTTCCTCTTGCCTTGCTCCCAAAGGCAAGAAAGACTACAAGGGCCCTCCATCAGTCTTATGGAAATACATTTCATCTGAAGTAAATGTTACCCTAATCCACAGATGCCATAGAGAAAAATGACAGCCTTATAATGTTTAAAGGAGTGATTTGAATTGTGGAAAGGGCAGTGGTGAGCTTGGGGAAGCTCTGCTTGACCTCTTTTGATGTAGACATTGCTGATAAATGCACACAAACTGGCAAAAAAAAAAAAAAAAAAAAAAATCCAATTATAAAGCTGTTAAGGATGGTGAACCTGCCAATCCCCTTGACTGGCCAAATGTGTCTTGATTGTGTGAAACAGAGGGGCTCACATTACACCATGCTGTGGGTAAAACTAGATTAGCGGGATTTTTGCTTCCACTTGGGCTACTGAAGCTTATGGCAAAAGTTGTGGTCTTTGGTTAGCCTGCCACTTAAAAGAATGCATTTCAGGAATGGGTGCTAAACGCATCTAAAAAATTCAAGCATTGACGTATTTTTTAACGTTACTTCATTGAAGTTTTCCATGTGCTATACATTATCACTACAATGTGTTTTATCATAATGGCAAATCAGAACTCACAGTGTTCTTTCTCCAGCAAAGACAGACTCCAGCCATTTAAACTAATGGCAAACCCATATGAAATGCGAGCAAGAGAGAACCAACACACAAACAATCAGCTTTAGTTCTGCCCACTGTCCAGGAAAAAGTAATGATAATACAAAGGGAAAAAAAAAAAAGGAAGTTATGTATTTTATCCCATTCACTGTTTATGTGCAAAAGCAAGTTGCTGACAGGAGCCCTCATGCCTAAGTTTACTGTTTTAAAAGTATTTTTAATCCAAAACACTTACTTGTTTTTGACTCCTGGGGCAGGAGTTCATCAGGAACTGTCAGGCTGGGGGACTGGTGCATGAAAACAAACGGCAGTGCTCAAGAATGTCAGATTTCATTTGGAAAGCCATTTTATTGTGTGTGTTCCGAGGTGTTATTACGATCGCAGCTAAAGGAGAAGTATTCTGAATTGATAGCATCCTTTCAATCTCATATTTTAATGGGCTGAGAGGAGTATCTGCCAGCGCAGACAGAAGCAATTGAACTATGGAAAAACAGTACATTACCTGCCTCTGCTGCATTTTTCATAAGTAGATCTCCAAAAACTTTACAAGAGAAAACCAGGAGACCAACTTCACTATTACAGTAGTTGATGCAGTTGATGTTACACCTTCCTGTTATGCCTCTATGCAGTAGGAATTGATTTTGTAATAGAACAAACTGCCTTTTGCATTGGGTAAATCTACTTAAGTTAGCAATGGAATGATGCTCATCAGCAGTTTTAAAATATCCCTGACTCCACACCTTTGGGAACATCACTTTTATAGTCTAATAAGAAAACACACAAAACATAAGATTAGCATGGGAGCTTTATTCTCTCTTTTATCTTCATAACTACTACTAAAGCCTTTCTTCCTGGACAAGGAAGAATAAATGCCTTCAGTGCACAATGGGCAAAAGTTCAGCGAAGTGGCAAAATTATCTAACAGCTAATTTAGAGATGCACATAACCAGAGCAAAGAGGTGACAGTCCTTTGTGCCAGTTGAATTTGCATTTCCTGGATTCCATTTCAGACACATGATGTACGTCTTTGATCACAACACTTCACTTCTCTGTGTCTTTGATTCTGACGGGGGGGCAACGATCCATTAAAAGCCTGAAATTTTCAAACACAGAAAACAAGCACCTAGTTGCTACTGTTAGCAGAGCCACAGAATCACAGAACGTTGGCAGGAAGCTCTGGAGGTCCTCTTGGCCAATCACAGACATGCAGAACAGGTGGCTCCAGTATTATCCTCATTTGAAAACACAGGCTCATTATCATGTATGTATGACACTGTACAATGTACTGTGTATTTACTGATTCTGGCATGCTTTTTTTTTTTTTTTCCATAAACTACTTTTGCAAGGGCTTGCTAGTATCTCAAACAGATAGCTCTCACCTTTGAGGATGCAGCAGCTCCCTCTTTCAGTTCTTTATTCTTTAACACTAGAAAAAAAAGAAAAAAAAAGACTGCATAAATCACCTTTTTTTAATTGTGAAATACTCCCCTTTGACATTTCTAACTTGTACATCTTGTAATTAAGACACCTCTTAACATACCCTTTTACATAAACTGCAGGTAGAAGTACACTGAACATGTCCCACAAGAAATAACAGCTTAATCCATTTTTTCTGCTGAGCAGGCTTTCTGAACACGTGATCTCGAGTTCTTTACTTAATCCCCAGGGTTAATTAATTAAAACAAAAAGATGAAGAGTTTGTTTCCATAATTCATCTTGTTATTAAATAACCCATTAACTCCTTTTTGAATGCATTGTTTCTCTCATGCTTCACTATGTAGCGAGTCTTAATCTCTAAGACCTTGATTTATTCCACTAGAGTGGCAGCATTTCATACAGGCATGCTCATGCTAGCTTTGAATTCTACCTCTTCAATATCCATGTCAGAACAGCATTTAGCCCAGAATAAATAGTTGATCATGTTGTATTTCAGATGAGTTTTACCGTCTGCTCTAAGCTTATTGCTACAGTTGCTATGCTGACAAAGCTTCAATAGGTCTCTGTGAGCTACAGTTAGAACTATAACAATGATTTAGTAAACCCTCAGTTTTGTCCAAAAATGTGTTCTCATCCAGACATTTAATTTCCTTGATCAAGTTTTTATTTAACTATTCTTACAATTTCCTTTATCTCTCTCTTTTTTTTTTTTTCCCCCTGTAAGGACTGTTTTTCTAGAAACAACACACAATGGTACTACAAACTCATCTGACACATTTTCTAGAAGTGTGAATTCTGCAATTCCTGGTGTCACTGAATCTGGGTCATTTCCTACACAAGTTCATTAGTCACCAGTGATGCTGTTGGGCAAGAGGCTCCAGAAGAGAGTGGCTCAGAGTGCCAAGATGGGAGGATGTGCTATCAGGGGCTGCTCGGGCAGTGAGGAAGCCTTTTTATACCTCTACCACATCCTGCTAAACTAACACCAGTGACTGCATTCCTTTGGTAAAGGCAACAACCTTCTAAATCCCAAAAGAAGACACAGAAGTCATTCCACAACACCCTGTGCCTGCCAGCCCATGGAAATTTGTGGTGGGATGTGGGATCATGAGTCCACGGTGAGAAACCAGCATGGATGTATCATTCATTACCACCACCCACAGCATGCCTGCAGATGTGGGATCTGTGAATGGAGTGCTAGTGCAGAGAACATCAGGATGTAGAAGCGTGGAATGCTGCCGTATGTTGGCAACTGCTAGATTACCTAAACCATGGTGAGCGTGTAGTGTAGGCAGGCTTTATTAGCGAAGTTCAAACTAAGATGTGCTAATTAAACAAGAGGTTGTCCTAGTTGCTAAGGGAATGAATAATTTCTGTATTACTGCTTCTACCTCAGTAAAGTGTGTTCTCAGCTGTCCCTCTGGTCATTGCCAGAAAGGGAGGTCAGTTATTGTTGCTTCTGTGACTACAGTGTTTTGTTTTTTAAGCTCAGTTTTGCTTCTTTTGAGAAAGATGTAGTCTAGAATAGGATATCTGTCAGCTCTTCTGTAAAGCAGAGATTGACCAAGTGTTGGAGCCAGTCCTAGAATGAAGCAGATGCAATGGTCTGAATATTCTATTACTAAAGATGCTGGCTGCTGCCAGATGTGCATCTTGCTTAGCTTGGTCTCGTAAGAAAGCATTCTCCAATTCTTTTTTCTTCTAACGTAATATATACTATGCATAGGGAGATGCTAGGGGCATACGGATGTAAACTCAGAGGTGAGATCAACAGGACTGAAACACAGTGAAGTTAATGCTCAAGTGAAAAACTGTCTTCATGTGGCGATCCATTACCAGCTGCTAGTCCAGTAGCAACCCCATCATCCTTCCTTCTCAGTGTGAGCTTTCCATCCATCTCAGCTTGAAACTTAAATTACAGCACGTAGCATTTTCAGACCAGTATTTTTCTTCCAAGTTGACATCCTCTATGGAAACCTTGCTGCCATCATTACAAACCTTTCTTCTCTGACACTCTGTGGGGTTGTCTGGCTGTAACTTTACCTTTGTGAGACACCAGAGCCTTGCTCCTCTTGTACCATGGAGATGGGAAAAATAATAAAATTCTCATTAAGAGAAAATTGTCTCTGTCTATGAAAAGACAATGTAGCTCTACATTAAGCTCCAGCTTCCAATACGCTGAGACACTGTGTTATTTTCCTTTGCTTTTATTTCATGAACCTTTATTCCTCCAGCCAGCTATTTATTATATTGGAACACGTTCCCTTTATTTCATCTGTTCTCCCTCCTACCTCAAAGCAGAAGTTGCAGCATCTGCCATCACCCCTCCCTACCGGCTGGTTTGGTTTGCATTCTCCAAGAAATACATTTTCTTTTCCCATAAGCCCTTGAAGTCATAGAGTTCCAGTGCTACCTTTCTCTCACTGAGGACTCTAAGCTCAGGGAGGCATGTCTGCCTTTTGCTGAAAAATGCTCCCTCTGCAATTTTAACTAGTCTGATTTTGCATTACAACCTCTGCGATATCATTTATCTAATTTAGATGTTTCCTCTGCATCCCATTCTACAGAAAGAGCTGTGAAACCTTCATAAGATAAAAATCTTTATCTGAACTTCGAGTTGGACTGCCCCAGAATCGCAGCAGAGGTCGGAATCTGCCAGAATCTCCTGCCTGTTGGAGACAGGTATGGGTTATTAGACCGAGTATTTGGGAGAAAATCCTAAGAAAGCCAGCAACTGCTGAGCCTAAAGTCTTACCCTGAGTTACTTTGCTGTGTTGGAACAATATTTTTGCTAATAAAGCTGTGACCAAAAAAAGATGAGACCGTGATGTTGTGATAAAGACATTTTCATCTGAATTCTGGTGAAGTCTTCAACAGTGTACAGGGAGGGCCAAAAGCAGCTGAGAACATTCTCATTGTCTATTGTGAGAAGAACTGGGAGTGCCAATGTGGCAGGAACACTTCCCATAATCAGATATCATTAGTCTCATTGATCAGTGTTCATCAGATCATCCTGTTTGACACGTCTTGGCCTGTGCTGAAGACTAGAACTTCAGTTCTTGCCAAATTAACAGGAAACCAGGATAAACAGTCAGCTCTACAGAGCTCTGCTATGCAACAAGTGCATTAACCACTTTATAATCTCTTTGCAATCTGTTTCGATGTTAATGGGTCTGCTACAGAAGCTAACATGTAATAATTTACTTTGCAACATAATCTGTATTGGGTTGTAAAAGTGGACCAGAGTCCTTGAAGGCTGTAAAGAATTCTTACACATCAGGGATTGTTCTCTACACTTTATTTATAAATCAAATTCATCAGTTCTTTCTTAAATTCTACATTTATTTGTACTCAGATTGATAGCTCATAAAATATCCTCCCCTTTTCACAGTGAAGATCAGATCGGAGACAGACTCAGCCCTTTTATCTCAGCTTTTGTTATGTAACATTTGGAGACTCACTGACTATACCTCTTTGATGCACAAGCTTAGAGTGAGCAGGAGCCAACGTGGCTGTTATGTCATTCCCATTTACCATCTATAGGATTATAATTATTCTACTCATTAACGTTCCACTGCCTGCTGTCACATTCACTGGTCATCCTATTCAAGTTGGTTACTGATGGGACAGTTGAGCTCAGTAATTATCGTTTCTGGTTGTGAGGTTCTTGAGTGATACAGAAAGTGAAATGCATTTCCATAGGACAGGATATAAATGTACCTAGAGATATTTCGAGGGTTCCACAGATGGGAAGAGATTTGTTGACTCATTCAGAGCACTAGATGGTCTACAAGCTGTAATTCAGAAGATAGTTTGTCTTCCCTCCTTCATCTCTATGATCTCTTCCCAGATTTCAGACTTCCTTCAGTTCTCCAAAACAGCCTCTGTCTCTTTCTCCTCTATTCTTTGTGGGTTTTTTGTGTGTTTTGTTTTGTTTTTGCATAGGTCTCTTGCTTCATTTTCCACTTCAGACTTTTTTTCACCATCCTGCAATCTTTTCTCCTTGCCACACTCCTCTCCCCCACTTTTTGCCCCTCACGTACCATTAACGCTTCCTCTGCAAGCCTTTTTTTCCACTGAATTCACCACTCCTTTACCCCATCCATAAACCTCATTAATTCTCTGTAAGTCTAATTCATTCCTCTGCTCTTAATTTTGTAATACCTATTGACTTGGTAGTGGTGTTGTTTTTTTCTTCTTTTTTTTTTTTTTTTTTTCCTTTTTCTAATCTACAAACTTCTCTCTACTCTCTTTGAAAAGACTGCTGCTCAGGCAGCAGTTATTGTTCTGATGAACCATAAATACATACTTCATATTACTTCTTCTTAGCAAGCAGAAAGACATACAACACAACAGAAAGTAAGAGCCATTTTCTTTTTTCTCCTTAGAGTCCTGGGTACATTAACAGATCTTAATTGCCCAAACCTGCCTCATCTGGGACCCTGCCCACTCTCTTCCATGTTCCAGAGCTATTCAAGTTCAGGTTTGAGAACTTACTTTTGCTCTGAATTATGTGAATGTTGTATCTGTGCTTGCTTCAGTCTTTGGCTCAAACAGGTTTGTATTGCAGCCCCAAGCTGCAGCACTCTGCTCCTGACTAGACTGGCTGGACTGTGGAGCTGCTTCTTCACCGTGCCTTACCTAGGATTGTCACTGAATCTGTCTTTGCTCATGCTGCCAAGTTACGGGGGGCTGCACTTGGGTCAGTGGATTCACTGCCCTGCCAACATGGAGGCTGGCCTTGATTCCTGGCTTAAGATCCATCACAGAATTGTTTCAAGTTGGCTGCTTCTTCAGTAGAGCCTAATTCCTTTTCTGAGTGCTTGAATGAAGCTTGGGTACTTGGCCTCTGGCAGAGGTGGGAGTACCTGTCAGTATTCCTGGTCCTCCTCCAATCTATCCCCGCTTATGGCTGCAACATTCCCTTTCTGTCATAACTGTAAGGGAAGGAACAGGGACTCTTGCAGTGTTGGCAGCCATTCTTCTTTC